TCCAAATCTATTAAGAGACTAATATTAATTCCTTAGCTAAGAAATGCAATATATTTAGTAGTCTATAGTGATGGATATAGATTAAAATATACTAAAAATAGAACTAACCATGATTTGGTTTCAATATTATCATATAATGGTGTACAATGATCTATAGCAATTTCCTTATAATCAAAACATAAGACAATATAAGAATGAATTAATCGGCAAATAAACACCAAAAAAAAAACAACCATTGATATTGTTATAACATATAGGACTCCATTCCTAGATACACAATTAAATTGCAAGGAATTAAATATTCACATATCTCAACTTATATGCAAAAAAATACATATAGAACTAAACAAAGTCGACATAGACTTCAACCAAGGAATCTTAGCTTCATCTTTGTTAAATGGTGTTGTATTATAACATGACTATATAATGAAAATATAATCAAAAATAAATTTTTAATTAATATCTGATTATTTTGATTCAATAATAATTCAAGATATTTAAACATGATTTTTATAAAAGCAACTTAATTTATTTTCTTGTCTTAATATCTAGTAAATTAATGATTGGTTAATAATTTTATCTTCTTAGTTATAAAATTCTTTTATTCTTTTAAAAATATCATAAATTGATATAAATAGAATAAAAAAATAAATAATTAGTATGATTGATACTAAGATTAAGTTAAGGATAGGATTGAACTAAAAAATCCCTAAGATAGATTGGATTAATATCTAAGGGTCCATTTTTTTAGGACGTGGTTAAAATCAAACCTCCAACCTCTAAAATGGCTACCTAGGGCAAAATATGGAGGCATTCAAAGATCAATGATTAAGATTGGAAAGCTAGCTTTAAGCTTCTTCTATAAGTGTAAGGCTTTTTTTCATAGGATTTGGAATGATTTTGCAATTATTGTTCAAAATCAAGATTTTTATTAATGACTTTGGATTTATACAATATAATTGAGGCTAATACTCTTTGCTACTTTGTGTAATTAGTGTCATATCTATAATTCAAATTTTGATTGAATATATTAAGTTTATATATAATTTTATCTTAATCTTATGATGTAGTTAGAAGATATTTGATTTTTGGTATAAGAAAGTATCAAAAGTTGGCAATTTAGGATGTAATAGGATTTCTATAATATATAAAGATCTTTTAGTTGGAATAAGGTAAAATTTAACATGTTGTTAGAAGACTTGAAGATCAAGGTATATACAAATTTTGAGCTCAATTTAATAATTGGAGAAGAATAAATTGCTATTGAAACATTTTCATCACCTTGCAAGTTAGTAGCAATATTGTTTTTTGGATATTTTTTCACAATCTATAAGTTGAATTAGATTGAATTTTTTTAAACATGAAGAAGACTTATAGTGGAATTTGTGTGAAAAATTTTGTATGAATTAGATAATTAGATTAGAAGTTATAGCTTGCTAAAACTTGAAGATTAAAATCAGGGTTTGTAAAGAAAAATCAAAATTGCCTAATAATGAAAGTATTAAGGTAATTGGAATTTTGATATAATTGAGCTTATTAAAAAGAGTATTTTTAAATACTTTGTATTGACTTTAAGTACTTTTGAATTAAAATTTGAATTATATTATTTTTATATAGGTGAAATCTATTAGAATTTTTTGGATACTTGTAAAATACAACTTCACCTTCTACAGCTAAGTATCTAGTGTATTTCCAAATAAGACAATACATAATATGACAACGGCATCTATATAGTAATGGCCATTAGAAATGCCATCTATATAGTATAGTTTGCAATAGATATCCATTCAAAAAGAACATTCTAGTCTCCTTACTTTCTCCTTTGGAATCTAAAAAGACATATGCAAGTACTTTCTTGCCAATTAATTATATTTTTTTTTAGTCGCTTTCAAGCTAAGAAATTGAAAACATACTATTGAAGTCTCTGACAATCCACTGGCTATCTATACAGACTATAACTTGGCTTACTAAGCAACTAATATATTCCAAAAACAACGGCATTGCTTGTTTATGTCTTCATCAAATTGGAGGTCCACCTACAAGATCTAAGTCTCTATTGGGCAACCCAAGTTATTCTTTCATCTTCTATAAAAAAAATAAAGATATATCTAATTTATTAGAACTTCTAAGGTCTTGATGATCCTACAAAAGTCAAACATGTATGCCACTACATTTGCAATTACGTAACAAAACTAAATATATTATGTTTATAAGAACATTGGTTCTAGGATAACATTCTATAAGAGGTGCAAAATGAAATCTAGATTGGTGCAAGCTTCCAAGAAGAAGAAGAAAAAAAAAAAAAAAAAAAAAAAAAAACTATAGCATACAAAAACTCCCTACAATCTAAAGAAGTGAGCAATAGAAAGGTATATCTATAAGTCACATCTTGCATAGTTAATAGTGTACTACTATTTGCAATGTTCTACTTCTTATCCATTTGAAGAGGTACTAAACATGGGATCATGAACGTCAAAGCAGCTTTAAGGAACTACCTTGCAGCTAGATCACTTCAGTGATCACACATGAAGGTGGGATGGATTCAAAGTTGCCAGCCCTAGACAAGGAGGAATTAATTTGATACACCCAAGAGTGACTCCTTTGCTAACTAAATGAGTTATCAAAGCTCTGGAACCTTCACAATCCAATCTACATCGGATGCTCAGATTTCGTCTAAACAATGCACATCCATACCAAAGAGGGAAGTGGCACCCCAGTTTAGAATATTTCACCATTCTCCGCCATCAGAGTAAAACAAGATCCTTAGTCTGAAATCGAGTTGCTAGAGCGTTGAAAGAATTGTTACCAGACATTCGATATTCACAGCCAAACTGTCATGAAGAACTCATTGTGCTAGTTTCTGGCACTGCCCCGAGGTACACTACCCCAACCCAGATGTCAACAAGGTGGTTACTTGGAGGAAGGTGCGCAAAACCGAGACGGTATGCAGATCATTGGCCATCTAATTTGAATACAGGTGGTCCCGATCCAACGCGGGCAAAAAAGAGAAGATCATGCTGTACTACGGACACGTCAATCGGTTGGAATGGGACCCCGGAACATACAGCTGGAATGGAAACGCTCCTTTCATGCATTAGCATCTACACGTCGATCTATGCTAAGAAAACACCACAAAGTCCTCCTGGTGGTCGAGACGAAGAGGTCTGGGATTTTGCCTTGAAACTTTAAGCTCAGATGAATGAATGTATGAGACTCGGAGAGGATCATGAAGAAGGCAGGATTACTTTGGCTGATCTGGCATCATGCTGTATTGGTTAACGCATGACGTGGCTGAATTGACGGGATGGTGGACCAATGCTGCCCGGTTTGCAAAAGCGGCACTCGGGAGACGGTTCTTCACCCCATTTGGGATACTTGTCAGCTCAAAGAGCATGGCAAATTCTACTAAAGATTATTCTACAATTCGATGCCCCTCCCTATGGCAGGCATCTGGTTATTGGCTCCACGACAACATTGGGAGCCGTTGCGGTAATTAATAATGACACTGGCAGAACGAGAATGTCTAGCAATGCTGACACGAGGGGCTGGCTCGCCCCCAAGACACAGGCTTCACACATTTCTTACCCAGCTGGAAACATTGTATCTTTGCATACAAAACAGCACGTCGACTATGCAAAGTTAGTTGAATATGGTTGCTACTCAGAGGAACAATCCCATGGCTGTTATGGATCGAAAGAAATAACTATGTATTTAATGGACTTCATTGGCCCCCTCAGAAAATGCACATTAAGATTTGGTTGAACCTAATGGACTATGATCGGGTAGCCTGGATTCACACTTAACAGAAGTGCACTAGGTACCCGGAGAGTCGAGATACCCGATTAGAGGAATTTAGGCACCAATGGTTCACCAACAATGTACTATCTACATGGCTAGGAGACAGACCTCACTAGAACCTAGTAGAAAAGAGCTCAGATCGGGAAGAAACACACTAATTTAGAACTAGGAATACCACTGACCTGGCTGGACCTGGCTGGAAATACTATATAATTTTTTTTTATTGCAATAGAGGAAACTTTTATTTGTGTCAGAAAAAAAATTAAAAAAAAAAAAAAAGAAGAAGAAGAAGAAGAAGAAGAAGAAGAAGTTGGAAACCAACATTTATTTTTTCCAAAGCCATTCAAAACCACACATGACTCGTGTGTGTGAGAATGAGAATGAGAATATAAATATATATATATATATATATATATGGAGGGAGGAAAGTGTGGAACAAAGAGCATCAACCTGGAATCCTCCAGCCAACATCAAAGCACTTCTCCTGAGACCTCACAGCATTGACTGCAAAGTGATTAAAAAGAAGATACAAAGGGGATCCCAACTCACCCACAAAAGCCTAATCCTCATTAATAATGGATAGGTGGGAGTAGGAAGACCTACTAATATGCACAGTCGTATGACTTTAACTCTGGCTCCTGCACCATCTTTTTGCATTCAGTCTTTCCTCCGTGCACTCTATCTAGATTAGCTTAGATAGCTATCTCTGTATCTTTGAATGGAACTAGCTTAACTAGCAATCTTTCTGTCCCATGGGATGAGCTCCAAATCATGTGAGCAACATTGTTGTCTTCAGCGGCACCATCACTCTCGCATGTGTGACTGAATCCTCGGTGTTCAATAGCATCCGCCTGCTTGCGCGGCAAAGAGGTCGGTGAGGCAGGAGATGCATGCACTATATTAAGCAAGAGGAGCATTCGAAAAGGCGAGGGAGCAATTATTTGTAGAAGGGCACTGTGCTGAAACCAGGCTGGCTCCAGGGTCCCTGTGCCGATTCGGCACTGTAGACCCGAATAATCAAGGGGCCGCACAAAGCGCAGAGTGGGGTAAAATTTAGAAAAAGCTTGAGAGTGGGAGTAGGTCCACGAAGAGCGAATGAGGGGCCGTTGTGTCAGGATGTAGTGAGGCGGGAATTTGACGGCACTTGTGTTGCACTGCCCCTCCTTGATTTCATTCTTCATGGCATTTATAATGCCCTCCAGAGAGCGATGGGACTACTGGGCAGTAGCTGCTCTGGTGGTTCAGCTGGTCCCTGGCGATTGGTGTCGATTCACACCTTGTAGTGGAAGGCTGGTTGGAATTGTTTTTATTTTTGGCGGTGGACCCCCCGAATTCTTACTCCACTACGCTGTGTGCTTCATGGGTTAATTTGTCACTGATACCACCGTGACTTGTAATCATTCGCGACTGGAGAGTTTCGTGATTGGAGGGAGTTTTTGCAGCAGGTTTTGGTCGCCTTGGGGGCTGTATCTTGAAAATGGCGGTCTCAAAGCGAGGGTTCTTGTGTGTAATAGTGGTGCTGAGTATTTGCGGAGGATACTGCGTTAATGCGGGTCCTCCCGATTCATGGCAAGTTATCGTTGAGAATGCGGGTGTATGTGCAATGCAAGCCACTCTGATGCGCAGCAACAGAGTGGTGTTCTTTGACAGAACCAACTTCGGTGCCTCAAATATCACCTATCAGGATGGGTACTGCCGGGAGAATCCCAAAGACATGCGTTCGAAACGAGATTGCACGGCGCATTCAGTAGCGGTGGATTTGGCTACGAACAAAATCACGACTCTGAAAATCTTCACCGACACGTGGTGCTCATCAGGATCCCACAAAGCTGACGGCACGCTGTTGCAAACTGGGGGCTGGGCTGATGGGGCGGACGTGACTCGGACCATTGGCCCCGGTCCTAAGGATGACTGGATTGAATATCCCAATGCGCCTTCCGCACTACTCACGAGTCGCTGGTACTCCTCCAACCATATTTTGCCGGACAATCGTGTGATCATCGTCGGAGGCCGCCGCGCGTTCAGCTTCGAATTTCAACCCAGGACTAAAGGCGAGGGCTTGTACTCCCTTCCGTTTTTGCGCGACACCCTCACCCCTGGGTCAGAACATAATCTCTATCCATTCGTCAATCTCTGCCCTGATGGCAACTTGTTTATCTTCGCAAATCAGGATTCAATCTTACTGGATTACAAAGCCAACAAAGTACTACGTAAGTACCCAAGGATCCCAGAAGGCCCTCGTAACTACCCTGCGTCAGCAGCCGCCGCGCTGCTACCTCTCACAGCTGCAGATGGTTACGGACGCGCGGAGATTCTGATTTGCGGCGGTGCAAAGCCTGAAGCTTTTTCCAACACAGGGAAAGGGATCTTCGACGAGGCATTGTCCTCTTGTGCCCGGATGGTGCTCACCGACGCAGCAGCGAAGTGGAGACTGGTGTACATGCCAATTCCGCGTATCATGGGTGACATGCTAATTCTTCCCACAGCGGAGGTGTTGATCATCAACGGTGCAAGGAAAGGAACTGCAGGTTGGCAAGTGGCTAGAGAACCCGTGCTTACGCCTGTGACATACGACATTTATCGCGACCGTTTCTTCACCTGGCGAGCTTCCACTATTCCCCGATTGTACCACTCTGTAGCGCTGATGCTGCCTGACGGCAAAGTCTTCGTCGCAGGGAGCAACACTAATCGTGGATATGAATTCAGCAATGTCCAATATCCCACTGAACTCCGAATAGAGAAGTACAGTCCATACTATATCGCCAAGTCATATGACACTCGTCGACCGAAGATTGTCAGCTCACCCACTGTGGTGAAGTGTGCCACCAGTTTCCGTATCGCGTTCGAGATCAGTCAGAATCCTGTTGCGTTGAAGTACCATCTATACGCGCCGCCCTTCACCACGCACACATACTCCATGAACCAGAGGATGCTTGTACTGAAAGCGAACCCGGTTGTCAGTGATCCTGCGAAGCGAACCTCATTCTCTGCAACTTTGTATGCTCCTCCGAATACCGTCATCGCCCCGGCAGGGTACTACTTACTCACAGTGATCAATCAGGGGACACCCAGCCCCTCCGTTTGGGTGCGGATTACTGCTGCGTAGTCTAAGTAGTGTACAACCCATTCATTTTGCAACATTTTAAAAAAGTGTTTTTTCAATGTGTCTATTCGATGCTGGTGATGAACTCTGGATTGAAGTCGCCAGTATATTTTTTGACACCTTAACGTAGCATAGGAATCCAATAGCTTGTAAACGTGCTCTTAAATTAGTTTGCGGCGAACGCCCGAGAGACATCCAACCAGACGTAGCGCCAAGAGTAGAAGCTGACACAAGCAATCTCTGAACGTCTTCCAAGAGCCGTCTATATTCGGAGACCACATATACAAAGCGGCTCCCATACATGTCGACGTCTGTTACAGTAGCGTCTGTGTGTGTGCGTCCAAGTGGCGATGTACGCAATCAAATGATAAATACCATTCTTTGATCAACCTTCATTTCTAGTCTCAATCGAGATGAGAGGTTGACCACATTTTTGTACCAGTTGTTATACTTGTAATACATTCCGCTCCCTGCGTGTGTTGCTTAAAAGTTAGGGATGACTGCAAATCGCGTCTAAATTATTTGATCCACTTTCCTTTCTTTACCATGACTCGATCCAGACAGAATCTTGTGAAAGGGGTGAGCCGCCAAATAACACCCTGCTCGGCGCCTTTCAGTGAAAACGGAGCTCGCTGCTGTTGTAGGCAGGGTGAATTCTGGAGGGTTATTAGTAACTAAGATCTTCTGATGGAAATAGAAATGTGCGTTGTTCACAAGTGCAGCTGGTCTATCATTGCCGATATAAGTGGTGGCAGAAAGCTGATGTGTACCATGCACGATATAGTAGTTCTATGGCACACGTTTGTTGTGATGCTCATTATTGTTGTTTAGTTTAATGTTTTGACAACTGGCAGAATGATGGAGCTCTGCTTTCATTGGTTTTCTTACGAAGTAGGTTAACACCGAGTCACTAAACATTGTGTTTTTTTTAATTGTAAATAGGTCTGAGTTAGTGTTCACTCCCTGCAGCTACTTCTTGGTTTAAATTCTTCCTTCATGTTTGTTGATACGTTGATTATGGGTGTTGTTGGGAGAATTTAAATTGACCCCAAAGTTCGGCTGATTATGACTTTTGATTGAAAAAGATACGATTTCGTTTTAATTCAGTGTCGATGATTGTTGCAAGTACATAGAAAAATACTTCATATATACCCAAGTGCTTAATATAATCTCCTACGAACTCCACAAACTTTCATTTTCAGTAAATAAGTTTCGAATCCAAACAGACTTATATGTAATATGAATAATATGATTTTCCCCCTCTTTTTTGTATTGATTGAGTATACTTCTGATGGTGTAATTTTTTTGTTACAGAAAACAAAGAACCCTACAGAAAATAATTTGCATAAAAATTGATTACACACCAGTCTGCTAGTTGTCAAAACATGACGTCTCAGCGATGAAGAGTGCCCAGTCTCAGTCTCAGCTCGGTCTTAGCTTGGGCTCAGGAATGCCCATCACACCGCATGCTTTCACCATCAGTGAGTGCATCGATCCTGTACAGATTTCCAAGGTGTAGAACTACGAGTGTGATGCAGGAGATTCTTAGAGAAGCATCAGATAGTCGTGTTGGATTTTTTTGTAATTCTTATGTATATATATCTATATATGTATCTTAAAAAACCAGTTTGGATGAATGGATGGATGGAAGTTTAGTTGGATAGAAAATTCAGACAAACAGTTCTTATTTTTGTAAATAATATATACAAGAGCTCTATTTACGTTATTAATATATAATCTTAAGATGGTTAAGTAAATGCAAATATTGTTTGCAAAAAAACTATATATTAAGCTAATCATGTGGTAATATTTTGCTTAATATTAAGAAAATGCTACAAGGAACTCTTTTTCTTATAGGTATTGCAAAAATATAGAGATATTAAAGGCAATATACTAGAAGAAAAAAATGTATAGAAGAATTTTATTTATTAATTTAAAATCAAATTCAAATGACATAGCTTGGAAAATAATTCATCTCTTTTTATAACATACCTCCACTAAAATATGCATCTTCAAATCTTGCAACTCAAATTTTGATTCTAAGGCAATTTGAAATCTTTACACAACAAAGAAATTGAAAGCCAATAAAACCCCTACAATAAGAACTTTGAAGGAATTAATACATTTCTTTTTTTTTCTTTTTTCTTTTTTTCTTTTTAAAAATAAGATTCTAAGGAGACTTCATTTTACTTAGAGCAAGCTTTAAAAGCTATAAGCTACAATGAAGTCTCACTAGAATCTTAATTTTTTTATCATTATATTCAAGTGATATATGAATATTTTAAATTTAAATTATAAATGCTATTTCAAAAAAAAACTATCATGACTAACTATAATAATCTTCTAACTAGATGTAACTTTTGCTTAGATATTGACTATAAGATAAAAGATTGAAAAAATCATAAAGACACCAAAGTTAAGTCAATAAAAGATTTACAAAAATCAAGAGACAACCAATTAAGTGGATAAAACCATGTAGGATGTAGAAGACATAAAGGCTACCAGCATATTAATAAAAAATTACAAGAAGCATATATAGATAAATTTACATTAATAATTACCAAATTGAATAGAATTAAAAAGAAACCTCAAGACCAGAAAACATTTATTTGGTTTATAAGAACCACTCCAAAATTTTTTAAAGAATTAAAAATATCAAGTCGAAGTCAAAATTACAAATTTTTAAGATCAAAGTTACTAAGAATTTTTCTAATTGTTTATAAGTAAAAAAAAAAAAAAAAAAAAAAAAAAAACTTTGATTGAAGGCAAGATAGAAGAAAATTTTATAACAAAGTCTATTAAGTTACCAAATAAAGATCTTGTAATCAATAAATCAACCATTATTGTTATTATTATTACACTAAGAAAGAAATACTTATAATTAATGATGTGAGGTTGTATAACTCTTTTGATAATATTGCCAAATCTCAATAACTTCACATATCTAATGTATTCAAGATATTGTAGTCAAGAATTAAGATTTCAAGAATAATAAGATACATCTAACAATTTTTGGAATTTTCCAATTACTATTGGATTTTTATTCAAAACCTTTTTCAAGTTGCAACTTCACTTACATATTTGACTTATAAAGACAAATTTAAGTAGAACAAAGAAGCTAAAGTAATTTTTTGAAGTTTTGAAGATGGCTTTATTACAATGTCAATCTTATATTGCATTAAATTTTTCAAGACATTTTTTATGAAAACTAATCCATAAAATTCGTCTTGAATATTATATATATATATATATATATATATATATAAGATACACAAAAAAAACCTTCTTATAATTGTAGATTTATTTCAAGAATGACATCATTATTTGGAATGCACTTCTATTCTAGTGGTTGTTTCTACAAATTGTAAGATTGTTAAGTATTTTATATCAACACACATTATGAATTGCTACTAAGTTTCTTAGAATATGTCCTTGTTAAGATTTGTATTTAAGATCACTTATTAGCAAGGAATATAAGATTTGTCAAATGTCTTTTTTAGATCCTAATACTTTTAAGTTTAAGTCCAAGAATAATCTATTCTATTTTGTAAGTTGCTTATATGTTCCAAAAAGTAAAGCATAATTACATATTCTTCAAGTTCATCACAATGTTATATTCTAACACAATTATATGATGAAAATATGAATAAAAAGAATTTTTCAATTAATACTTTATTATCTTTATTCAACAAGAATTCAATATATTTAAATAAGAATTATTTGAAAGCTTTCTAGTTTATCTTGCTTATCTTGATATCTAATAGATTAAGTTAATAAGAGATTTTTCCTTCAAGGTTGTATTTTTCTATAAAAATTCTTCTACTATCTTAAAATGGCCATAAAATAGAAAAAATAAGGTAGATTAGATTAATAGTTGATATGATTGAGTCTAAGATAAAATTAAGTATAGATTTTTATTAAAAGATTTTTAGGATTCATTGGATTGATATTCAAAAGACAATCTATATAAATTATGGTTAAAATTAGACTATTAGCTAGTAAATTGGTTGCCTATGGCAAAATACAAGGATATTTAGAAATCATTATGTAGAATTAATGAACTAACTTAGAGCTTGTTTCAAAAACAAAGGACTTATTATATTTCGTTTTAGAATGACTTTGAAAGAACTAATCAAAAATAGGATTTATATTTCTACTTAAGACTTTAAAAAATAAAATTAAGGTGAATATTCTTGGTTTATTCATGTATTTTAGACAACATTCATAGTTGAAATTCTTGATTGTATAAATAATTGTATATAATAGATGTTTATAAAAATTTAATCATAAGTGTAAGGATGTACTAGATATAAGATATTTTATGATTAATTATAATTTTTGTAGAATTTAAATATTTTTAATTACAATGGAATAAAAATTAATATAAAATTAAAAGATTTAATGATCAAGCTATAAATAAATTTTGAATTAAAATTAAAAATTGAAAGGAGAGACATTGCTACTAAAATTTCTTCATCAACTTTTAATTGGCAGCTAAGAGACATTTGTGTGGTGTTTTGGTTTTTTTACACAATTAATAAGTTAAATTGAGATATATTTATGTAAATATATAAAAAGTTTATAGTAATATTAGTGAGAAAAATTTCTTACCTCTTAAACAATTAGATTGAGATCTATTCTTTATTGAAGTTTATTAATTATAATCAAGATTTGTAAATAAAATTTAAAGTTATAAAAGCATAAAAGTAATAAAGAAATTAGAATTTATACATGTTTGTAGATATTTAGATGTCAAGGACAAGAACTCGATAAAAAAACAATTCAGACAAGTGAGCCTTCACTCAAAGAGAGGTACCAAAATATATATAAACAAGTATATATATTGAAAGAGAAACTGGAATGGCTATTGCCAAAAAACAAGAAAATTAGAGACCCTTGAAACTAGAATAGAAGCAAGAAAGGAGTTGACAAGAGTAAAGAAGCCTCACTCTTGTCTCTTTATATACTATCTAACTAGGGACTATGTGGCGACGTTCTATAGGACCTCCAATATGTGTTGACTTTGTAGGACACATGCCTTGACTTACAAAGCAAGTTTTTCTACGTGTGGGTCACATAGTTAGCTTGATCTTCAAGCTAACAACATGTGTAGCACATGGCCAACTTGTTGACCACGTTTCTAATCCAAAAAGTCAATTAAAGACACCTATGAAGTCAAAGCACCATCCATGAAGCTTCTAGAAAGCTTTCATATTAAATACTATAGAATTAACTTACTTTTACCTACTTTTACTTACTTCTACCTATTTGTATATGTAATTACTAGCTTACATGATTATGTCCATGACATTAGAAGATTATTTTTAAGCACTTTATATTGGCACTAAAATATCTTAAATTACAATTGGATAACATTATTCTTGACTAATCAAAATCTATTAAGATTTTGGGATAGTTACAAAATTTAATTTTTCGTTCTA